AAAAAGGGACCCTCTCCAAGCGCGGCGTCCGGGAAGCGAGGCCGGCCACGCAGCACCTACCGGGCCGCCCTTCCTGTCCCGGGAGGGGGGCGGGCAGGGAAAAGGAGAGGCGCGGCGAGAGGCGAGGCCAGGCGGGCCTCTTCCTCTCTCTCTCTCTCCGCCTTTCCCGCCCGGCAGTCCCGCTGCGCTTCCCCCCCCCCCCCCCCCCCCGCCAAAAGCAGGTGTCCCGGCAGGTGTGCGGCCTGGCCACGCCCCCTCCAGGCCTGGGAGGGAGTAGCCACGCCCCCCCTGGAAGGTTTCCCCCCCCTCCCCACCAGGTGGAGGCGAGCCAGCTGGCTTAACCAACCTTGCGCCCGCCAGTTGGTTTCGGAGGACTACAAATCCCAGCGGCCCCCGCCCGCCTCCCAGAGCTTGCCGGGAGTTGTAGTTCTTCCCTACCTGGCTCCTTTTACCTTTTTTTTATTTTTTATTTTAAAAGGAAGTCTTTCTTTTTAGGGAGAAATGCAAAATAAACAGGGGAGATTGCCTTGTCTCCAGGCTTTGGCATCCTCCAGCTGTTTCCGTGCAAAATTTGGGGTTCATGCAAGCTTTTTTGGGGGGGGGGGGAATATTGAACCCCTGCACACCTGGAAGAAGCTGCCTTGTCTTGCAGGGCGGGAAGAGGTTACCATGGGATGGTGGGAAAAGAGCCTTTTTTCCCCCCCTGGACAGAAAAGTGACAGGAGCCTTTGGATTGCAGAATAAAAACAAAACATCTTTGGAGTTTGGAGTCATTATATTAGTTTTGATGGGCTCCAAACAGGTAGCCCCCCACTTAAAGGAGTTCATTTAGCAACCGTCCAAAGTCGTAACGGCACTGGGGGGGGGGGAGTTGACTTATGACCATTTTTCCACCCTTACAACTGTTGCGGCCTACCCACGGCCACCTGATCAAAATCCAGACGTTTGGCAACTCCTATTTATGACGGTTGCAGTGATCCCCTTTTCGCAACCTTCTAACAGAAGCAGAATCCACGGGGAAGCCAGGTTCGCTTAACAACTGGGTGACTAACTTAACCACTGCACTGATTCACTTAACAAGCGTGGCAAGAAAGGTCTTACAATGGAGCTCAACTCCCTTAACAACTCTCTCACTTAGCAACAGAATCACAGAGTTGGAAGAGACCTTTGGAGGTCTTCTAGTCCAATCCTCTGCTGTGGCAGAAAACCCTATACCATTTGAGACAAAATAGTTGTCCGATCTCTTCTAAAAACCTCCAGTGTTGGAGCATTCACAACTTCTGGTGGCAAGTTGTTCCACTGATTAATTGTTCTCACTGTCAGGAAATTCCTCCTGAGTTCTGGGTTGCTTCTCTCCTTGGTTATATTGGGTCAATTGGTGGTTGTGAAATCCTCTAACATTAGCAGAAGCTGACAAACCCCAAATCAGGTCAGTATTCAATATTGTGGGGAAATACGTTTTTTTTTTCCTTTTTTAAAGGAGGTAACAAGGAACAGGCCACGTTAAGGAGAAAGCAAGTCCTTAAAAAAGGTGTTTTTTTTTAAAGAAAAGAAAAGTCGGCGATCCATTCCAATCCTTTTACTTGAAAACACAACTTCCATGCAGAGTTGTTCAGGTTATAACTGCTGATGTCTGTGCTAGATCCCCGGGGCCCTTTTCTTCTTCTTTTTATTTAAAATCCCAGGGAGCAAAAAAAAAAGCTTTTTCGCTACGAGACAGTTATTTTGTTCAACCAACAATGTGTTCTCACCCCAACGTTACAGTTAAATGAGTCCTAGATAAAGAGCACTGCTAACCCCCCCTCCCCCCCTGGGGAAAAAAAACAAAAAGAACGATCCAAAACAACCCTGCCCCGCCCCAAATCCCCGCAAACCCCCCCCCCAAATCCCCTGGAAACGAAACAGAAAGCTGTACACAACTTTACAAACATATTAACATATAAATAACAAGAAGCTTTCCAGGTAGGGGAGCTTCTACAGTAGTCTCTCTCTCTCTCTCTCTCCGTTTTTTGTTCTCCCCGCTTGAGGCTTTTTTTTTAACACTAAGAGGGGAAAAGGCCGGTTCCCTCTCCTCAAGCATCACAGGGGTTCTTTTTGTCTCGTCTCGTCTTTTTTTTTCTTCTTCTTCTTTTTCTCTCTTCCTTTCTTTTTCTCCTTGTTGTCAGTGCCTCTGGCTTCAAGTGAGCAGTCTGTGCAAAGAGTGGTGCTGCCTTCCCGCCGTCGCCCTCTTGAGGGTAGGGGGGTGGGGGCGGGGAAAGGAGCCCTTGACGGCGAAGGTTTCCGGTCACCGCTCTGGTCCCAGTTCTTGCTGGACGGGTCGCTTCTTCTCCCGGCAGTGCTTCTTGTGAGCGGGCCAGTCTTTCTGCTGGCACTGCGAACCGCAGTACCGCGCCACCTGGCATCGGCCACAGATGTTAAACTCGCGTAACTGGAGGGACGGGCAAAGGAGAGAAAGGAAAGGAAAATCAGTCGACGTTTCCGGGATCCTACGGAGAGACCCCAAACCCCAATGCAGCCGTGCTCCAAGAAGCGGGAGTGTCAGGATTCCGGACGTCGCCCCCAATTAAATCACGAGTCTTGAGCCAAACTTCAAAAGGATTTATTGGGAATTAACATGTCCGGCACTGCCTGGGTGTAGCTGAGTATGAGACACATCATTCACTGTTACCCTTGACCCTGGTTCCCCCCCCACCCGCCATCCCCTGGGTGTATCCTAATTCATATTCTCCAATGGGACACCTCCATAGCCCAGAGTCATCGATCATGCTCCCCAGTTAGAATTTTGCATGGCAGAAACTTCAGTCACCTAGTTACTATCTTGGAAAAACTATTTATGGGATGTGCTTTCGATTTCCAAGCTGCTGCACGGCTCCCCCACCTCCCTTTCTGTTGGCAGTGAATTCTAATCCCAGCGCGGGCATCAAAACTCCCTGGGTGATTTCGGTCCAATCACCAGGAGACCCTGTATGTGGCTTGGCACGTACCTGTTTCTCAATCATTGTGCAGGGGGGGTAGTGACATTCGTAGTATGTGCACGAGCTTTCCTCCTCTTCCACCACGTCTCCGTTAGCGTTGTAGTAGCGTGTGACGTTCAACACAGGGAACTGCTCCTCGATGGGATCAGTGGGAAGCTGTTGTATCGCCAGCCAGTATAAGCTTTGTTCCCTTCAACAACAACAGCAGCAACAACATTAGTTAGGCATTTCTTCTGCAGGATGAGATAGCAAAACTCAGCCTTTCACACAATCCCAAAAAGGGCTGAGGATTTAGACACTGGGGCAGCCAACCCTTCTAAAAGACTCATTCAGCAAATCTTATTTCACTGCCCCAAATGGAGTTCTACTAATCTTTATTTCTATGATAGGCTTGCACCCTTTACATGATTCATTTATATCCATGTAACCAGGAAGATCTGTTGCGGTTTTTTCTTTTCTTTTTTTAAATGGACTCCAATTGAAAAGCAATGGAGGAAACGATCGGGTTTTCTGATTATTATATTTGTAATGATAATGTTTATCTTCCCATCAGTGTTTTGCTTTTAAGTAAGGAGCAAAATGTAGGGTCCCAAGCAAGCTCAGAGAACACCAAAGATCCCCCCATTTCAATCCTGAGTTATATTATTTTCTAAGAAGCAAAATATTTGATTCAAAACCGCAAGACAACCTATGCACACTCCTCTTGTTATTTTGAACTATTATTGAAGAACACGGCTCCACGATTGTGGATGCTTCAGATTTAATCCCCGTCTATTTTGTCAATCCATCCATGGAGTTTATTTCAATTGATACCAGCTTTTTTACCCATAAAACATGCAAAGCAATCAACAATTAAAAACAGGCTTGAATTCCCAAAGATTTTTTTTTAATCTCGGGGCACTCTTGATGAAGCTCACTGAAGAAAGTCAAAAAGGTTTTGATTCCACCTTGTGCCGAGGCAAAGTGCCCCAAAACTGGTTTTCTACACTTGTATAACGTGGAAATAACCTTGACGAAGGATTGAAAGAGCCACCAATGGAAGAGAAGCAACTTAGTGGGATAATGCACCAGAAGGTTTCATTTTCTTGATTCAGTTTTGGTATAAGTCAACCCAAAGAGATACCGTGGCAGGCTTTCAAGACTCTGTTATTATATCCTACAACAATAAATTAGCCCAAGTCCTCATTGTGTCCATTTCTTGAGGTTGCTCACTTCAAAGAGCTCCTTTTTACTTTTTTAGATTGTCTCTATAATTGCTCCCCCCCCCTCCCCCGACCTGCACTTTTAAAACAGAAACATTTACAGGAGTTACAGAGAGGAATTTTCTTCCTCAAGAGAGGTTTACTTTTCCCCAGATATAAGTGACTTAAAAGAGCAAAGAGGAAAGGAAAGGGAAAAGGGAAGGGAAGGGAATCCCAGGCACTCTTAAACTTCAAATTCTGTTTTTTCCCCTCTCTCTGCATTTCCTTGAAGAGAATTTTACCTTTGCTTGCTAGAGATTTCTTCGGCTTTGGGTCTCCAGCCCCACGGCACCAATCGCAAGTTGTCCAAACGGTTATCCACTGTCACTGCATTCAAATGCACCACCTGGAAACCTGGGGCAATGCCTCCCCGATGTCTCTCCCTGCAAAGAAGTAGCAGAAGCCTACAGTTAGGGGGAGGGGTGGTGGTCGGTTGAGCATCACCAAGGCTTCATAGAGCGGTATTAATACTTCGCATGATCTCGATTCTACCCCTCTGAATGCATAACCCGCGTGAGTTGTCGCTGTCTCTCCTTTGCACGACGACACTTACCACAGCAACTCATGCAGCAGACGTCCGAATCCCCTCCCTCGGTTCTTGTCAAACGCAAAAGCAAAGATTCTAGCACCATTTCCATCAGCGTCGACTTCCATCCGAGCCTGCATAGAGAAAAGAATCCATTCTGTAGTGTATTTTTTCCTCCTCTGAACCATCTGAATGTCCAACAACTTTCCAAGAACACCAACAATACTAACATGTTAATACTAATACTTCCCACCAAAGATGGCCCCTATTTTAATGCTTGCATTTTTTTTTTACGTGCTTTCAAACTGCGAGGTTGGCAGAAGCTGGGACAAGGAACGGGAGCTCGTGATGCGGTGCTAGGGATTTGAACCGCCAAACTGCCCACCTTTCTGATTGACAAGCTCAG